GGACTGGCAACCGCCATTTTTGAGCCGATTGTGTAGATAATGTGGGAGACTCGACGTCTCACAACCCAATGGGCCTTCGCGGCCTGGGACAGGGATAGCTTTACTTTTACTTTATTTTTTTTTACTTTATGTTTAAAAATAGAATCTAGTAAATTTCTAATGATGACGTAATGACGTGCTTCATTGTATTGTGATGACGCATGCGCACAGATGCTTGAGACGCAGTCAATATGTTTATTCTAAACAGGACAGCTTTCGTCGTTATGTCGTCTCCATGGAAACCAAATGCAAAATGTTCCAACAAAATAAATTGTAAATGACAAAGAGATGTATATGTAATCCCATTTGCTATNGCTACTGCGGCCCAGTGACAACTCCACCCGCAAACTATCTCTTTTCCCTCAGATCCTTATTTTGAAGAAGTAAAAGTAGGCTTATGCGATCTCCATGCTGTCTGTGTATCCCACTCAATCAACTTTTGAATGCTTGAACCAGTCTTAATGAAACTTGGTATGTATGTCACGGCACCTGAGACCTCTCATCAGTTTATGTGTCTATGCATATCCCTTAATCGTTGCTAGGCAACGGCTCGATATATATATATATATATATATTCCCAAGGCAAATAATAAACCGAACGAATTATTGGGTTCGTAGTTTTCTATGTAGTCCGTGTCGTATCGAAAGGAAGTAGGCGATTACTTCTTCCCAGAACTTCTTGTATATTCTGCCGTTTCAAAATGTCATTCACGATTCATATCACTACAAATAAAAGCGAGTACCTTCCCAATACGAAAGAGAGCGTTACCGCTAAGCGAATCCATCACGGCGGTTCCGGTCTACATATTGAGGAGCTATAACTTGTACTCTTCGCCAAGTATAATTAGAATGATCAAGTCAAGGAGGATGAGATGGACAGGGAATGTAGCACAAATGGGGTTGAAGAGGAATGCGTATAGGATATTGGTAGGAGAGCCAGAAGGAAAGAGACCACTGGGAAGACCAAGACGTAGGTGGGTGGACAATATTAAAATGGATCTTAGAGAGATAGAATGAGGTGGTATGGACTGGATCGATCTGGCTGAGGATAGGGACCAGTGGAGGGCTCTTGTGAACACGGTAATGAACCTTCGGGTTCCATAAAATGCTGGGAAGTTCTTGAGTAGCTGCAGAATTGGCGGCTCCTCAAGAAGGGCTCAGCTACGAGTGAGTTATAGTTCACCGACATGACCCCTCCCCCTTTACGTGTTTATTTTATTTACTTCATACAGAGGAAGCGCTGAAACAAACACGTTGATATCAACATGGCGAAAGAACTGGCACATGATGACACTTTGTATAGTCCGTACGTGACTCGTGCATGTGCAGACCTCAGGTCTGGGCGCCCTGTCACGTTTTATACAGACAGTGATCCTGTAGGGCCACTTGGGACGTGTAATTAAT